AAACATGTTGAATACATTTCCTTCGTCATAAAACTTTGGCAAATTCTTTAGAACAAAAAGAGCATTGTTTACTCTAGCTTGTAGCCTAGTGTCCCTCTCATTTACTGTTGCAATAGTGCCTTTAATAGAGGGTTGCATGAATCAGATATGAAAGCATCGTGGACTGTTTCGCAATGCAGCTTGTTCCCCAGAGCAGTAAACTCAGAAAAGACACTGATCAAGCCCAGCTAGATAGGTAAGGTTGGTACAATAGCAAGCATACATCTGAATTTCGACCCCTTTAATATTTTCCTCACATTACTGCCCAAAGTTTGTTTTTATGTGGATATTTCCAACATTGCATGTTGTTGTGTACACTGTGAAATACAGTAATCTGCTGCGTTGCATGTCATTCTCTTCAGCTGCCACCAGAGGGCAACAACATTTAATGCTGGAGGTAAGCCTCATTTATACTCAAGACAGTTAACACATCACTGTATATTATTCTCATCAGCTTGTTTGAAACACCTCAGCAAAGCTATAAAGTTACCACACAAGAAGTTTGACTTCGGTATATTAAGCAACAACAGCTCCCACGCAAACACATATGAAATGTTTCTATTAAAAAGTGATTATGCAGGTAAAGAAAAGAAGAGTGGGCATATACAGCATATCAGGCATAAACATAAACAGTTGTTTGCCTTGTTAGTTCAACTACGGTTACGAACAGTGAATAGAGGACATTTCATAAGAGCTTTTATTGCACAATACCGACCAAACGTTTTCTGCAAGATTCATATTTAGAATCTCCCCTTCAGGCACAACTCAAACAAGCCACTGCATGTGTTTATGCTGTTTGCCACAAAAGCCATCATCTGTCAGGGGAGCTTGGCTTGTGCTCCGAGCCATAACAGTTTCACTTCTTTCCCTTTCTGTCAGCGAAGCCGTTGTCCAATGTCCACTGTAAATCAGAGACAGTCAACATTTGTATTGGTTGCAGGCCAGGGAGCTAAACTCTCACTAAACTCTATTTATACCCCAGATAAATGTTTGTGCATTTTTGTTTTGCCAGACAAAATTGTCTGTGTAAACATCCCGTGAAGCAGATATCCAAACAGAGTCTATTACATTGTTATAACAATGAAAATGTGCTGCATCAGACACTGGACATGCTGACTTCCTGTTCTGCTTTGTGTAATATGTTTATAATAATAAAAGCGGCTTTGAAGTACAGTTACACCACTTCATACACACTCTGTTACATATACACCCATTCTTCTTCGTGACTATTGTAACTAAAACCTAAAAATATACTCCAGGGGGAAATTTGACAGAAAAAAACCACAAAAGTAATTTATGATGCACACATTCTTTCACAAAACCCAAAACCATCTAATTTGTTGTGTGGTGAATAATCTGATCTTATCTTTTGAACTAAAGAACATAACTTCTGGTTGGAGCTAAACAACTGTGATGAATACATTTTTGAACAGCTCTAAAAAATGTAAATGTTGCTAATATCTGCGTACCTGTTTGCTGGGAATAAAACTGCAGAGGTATAATGCCAGTAATGTTTTTATAATTATGCATTTGTGCAAACAGAAGATGATGCTTGTTAATGTCTAATTTTGTTTTAATAACCGATATCTGTTGGTTAGGGAAAGATCGTGTCCTAATTTAAAGTTAGCACATATTTGTTGCTTAATTTCTTATATCACAAACCCTGTTCTGATGAATATCTAATGAAGTATTAACTTTTTTGCACAAAAAAAACCACATCTTGTCTAAAAAGGAAATACACCCGATTGCAGAAGTATTTACAACATCGACCTTTCATACTGCAGCAAGTATTCTTTTTTTTCATGCATATACAGTTTACAACTGGATGGCTGCAAAAAGAGTAGATGCTAAATCAGTATCATTTTTCAATCTACTGCATGTCAGAGATCTGTCTTAATCTCTGCTGTGCTTTTTTGTACTGCGTGCCAAAGTAAAGATACTCAGACACTGATAAATGATTTCTGGGATATGACTTCTTTCATTTGCATGCAAAAACGACAGCAACGGCAAAGGGATAAAACAACATATCATATTGTCTGAAAAGAATGCTGAAGACAACACAGTGTCCTCATACTGCCTGAGTCCAAGTTCCTTTGGCAGTGGACCATCATCTCCTGACAAATATTCATTCAACCATCAGGACATTTTGAAAATGCATCGAATCCAGGAATAGAGATTACAGTCTTTCTATGTTAAAGGGGCCCTATTATACTTTTTGGAGTTTTTTTTTCCTTTTGTGTGTTATATTGATTTTTTTTGCATGTAATTGGTCTGCAAAGGCTCAAATCCCAAAGTTCTCTTCAGAGGGAGTTTCTCTCCCACACATTTCCCCCCTGCCTGAAACGCCTCCATTGGATTCTTTCGTTGATTTGGGTAACATCACTATGTAAACCTTGCGCTTTTATTGGCTAGCGCTCCAACACTATGTGATAGGCTTAAGGGGCGGGACATCTTTAAGTGGTTGCCCAATCAGAGCAGGCCAGCTAACCAATCAGATCAGACTGGGCTCTGGTTTCAGACAGAGGGTGAAAAGAGGCGCTGCAGCACAGACAATATGAGAAAAATAAGGCACTTTTTGAACATTAAAGCGTGTAAACTTTCCACAGTAGAGGCACAAAATGCAAACATGATCTCTGAAAATGAGCATAATTAGGCCCCTTTGAAGATGCAAGTTGTTTTTCCCAGGAATATTCTGATCTTTTTTATTTTGTACTGTGATTGAACAGACACACCTAGCAGGGATCAAGAGAATCACACAGACAGACTGAGGCAATAAGAAAATTAAGAGCACATTTAATATGAATTGCTTTGATACGTGAGTGGCACCTGGGGAAAAACTGTACATTATTTCTATCATATACTGCACAGTCGTGTGTTCTTGAGTAGAAGTGTAGCAAACAACTCAAGTTAGCACCAGTATCCTGCAGACAAAGGAAATGGAGAGGGCTTGTTCATGAAACGCTTCATTAGGCCTTAGAAGCATGTTTGGATGTGAGTAAAAGCATAAACAGGGAACAGCGCTATCCAATGTCCACTCAAGCCCTCAAGGCTCGTTAATATCTGTCAAAAAGCGTTCAACAAAAGTCCACGAATGAACACTACAGCCTGTTTTTAGAAGTTAACAGGAAAGGCTTTAGGTGGTTACGCCATAGGCTGACAGTTGTTTTTATTGCATATCTTTTCATCTGTCAGATCACAATGTGACTAAAGGAAGGTTTTTAATATGTAATTCTGTATAAATGATGTTTCATACAATAGAGTGGGGTTCTCCAGAGAATACTGGCAGTATAACTGAGAAATTCCACAGGGTTTTATAGTATGTGCGTCATTTCTCTCAAATACTTTAAAGGTTTTCATTTGTCGGTACAGCTGAGTTTTATTGATTCTGAGATACACTGTTTATGGCCTGATAAAACCTTAGTGTGTGCCATCCATGGGGACTTCCACACAAATTAAAAGTGAACACTTTCACATCGATACTGTACGACAACTAATGTTTGGTAATGTCAAACAGTCTATGTTTGATACTTACAAGGTATCAAGAGACAGTGATCACACATTTTCTTTGCATACAATAATGTACAGTTTAGAAACTATTCTACAGCAAGACTGAAAGTGATTGAAAAAGATTTAACACGTTATGACATGTTATAGTTTTCTATATGGAAATATTGAGGATGTCTCTCAAATTAAATAGGAAGTCATACTGGATTTTAGTGTAACATAAACCATCATTTTGGTGAAGCAGGTTCCAGTGCAGGGGCATGATTGTGAGGGGCACTAAAGCGGAGATGCTGGGTATATTGGGAGAAGGATGCTGAAGATGCCAGGCAATAGGAAAGGAGGAAAGTCAAAGATGAATGTGGTGAGGGGGGAGATGCAGATGGTTCCTGTGACCGAGGGAGATGCAGAGGACAGGAAGAGATGGAAACAGATGATAGGCTGTGGTGACGGAAGCAGAAGAGGCACATGTTTAATAAAAGGGGAAAGTGGTTAACTGAGAGATGTGAGTAATGCTATTCTGCCTGTTTTAAATTAGTTGCTCCTACATGTAATAATGTTATAGTGAATGTACTGTATGTGCATTTAAACGTTAGGTATACATTTAAACGACAGTAAAAACAATACTCAATATGAGATACAAATGCATATCCATATACTGTAGTCTATTGTATTGATAACATCGGTATATACATATAGATACTTGATGTCCCTTCCCTTAAAGTCTACCCTCTTTGAACAAAACTTGCCGACAAAGATAAACATCGTTGAATTGCTTGTGTTAAAAAAACTTGAAACTTTATCAAGTTAAGGATATGGGCAGGATTACCTTTAACAGCTGCATGTTAGCACAAAAACTCAATTGCTTTAAAGTCTTTTACTCCATCCTTTTTGTTAAATGCTGTCTTGAGTACAAGGATTTACTCCAAGGAACTCTTTTCGATACAAGTTGAAAACAAATGTGTGTGTTGGCATTAAACACCTTCCTTCAACAGTCACTTTGGAAGCCTAAGTATTTCTCAATATGTATCTGTCAGTGTGATGTGATGTTAAAAACCTTTAAGAGTTTACCAGGCTAGACTCCAACTAAAACAACCCGAGGTAACAAGGGAGTTTATTTCATGGTAAGGTACTACTAAATCAAAATGAAGACTTAAAAACGAAATTAAAATGAACAAGTCTTTTGTATGCATGCTGAGAATTCCCCTCTTCTTGAACATTTTTGAAAACTGTAAAAGTACAAATGTTTGGCTTTGGAAAATGAGCTTGTTTGACTCAAATCCCAATGATCAAAATTCTCTTTACATAAGGTGGGGGTCCAATTCCCAAGACTGATACTTGAATACAGCAATCAGGGAAAGAAAAAAAAATCCCCTGACTGGAAAAAAGAAAGATGAGATGGGGTGCAAAGGTAAGCTGCGTTTATGGAAATATGATCCCTGGCGTGCGTGTGAGCCCTATATAAGCAACCTCGCCTCACCTGCACAGACACAAGAAGAGAGAAGGGAATACATCTGCAACTTAAGAGGTGAGTTATACCATATCCCATGGTAAAAAAAAGATCATTTGGAGTTTCCTCCATATTTTGTACGGTCAAAAGTGTGCTATCAGATTCGATTCAGTACAATTTATGTAATTCGTATCAGTTTTGTTTGGATTATTTATCATTCTTTAACTTTTCACAGCACCAAAAGCAATTAAAAGCAATCATATTTCATTGTGTGTCCTACCACAAGATCACATTTATTTGCTTACCAAAAGAGGAAAATATCAAAGAATAATTTAAACATTTATGGCAATCAAAAACAAATTGGATAATGTTTTAGAGCTATGATTTTCTTCATTCAACTGGCGTGTAATGTGACTAGACTCTAGAGAATTAGATTTGTTTGACAACCGAGAGTTGTAGAGTTAAAAAGTCATAGTTGTTTGATACAAATGTAAGCGCATGTACATAAACATAAAGAGAGGTGTTGTGAAATATTTGTTCAAGGTTCAAGGTTTCCAATGTGAATAGGAAAGGCGTGGGCAGAGCAGAGGGATAATTATCAGAGAGTGATAAGGCTGATTGCAGGTCAGCTTTCTTTTTACTTTTTGCTTTCATCTGTCTTCTTCCAGAGCTGCTATACAGACCTCACCATGCGGTTCAACACGCTCATCTTGCTGAGTCTGACTTGTGTCTGCCTTGCACTCGCTCAAAGTAAGTCACTGAAATAGAGCAGCGGGTATCCGACTGTAGTGTCAAATAGTTTTCGACAATAAAGATAAAAAGGCAGGTTTATTGTCTAAGTACCTGCGTTGGAGGTTACCTCACTGTGTTGCATTGAGGACCTTCGGCATTTTGTTGACTGATTATTTGACTGTGTGATGTATGAATAGTATTTTACTGTCGTTTTTGTGGTGGCACTGGATTGTACTTGATTTCTGACTTTACTGCTCTGGATTTCTGATTCTTCAGCGACCCATGAAGACTGCTGTTTGAAGTACGTGAAACAGTTGGGCAGGAGCACTCAAAGACATGCAGTGGCCTACAGATTGCAGGTACCAGATGGAGGCTGTAACATCCCTGCTGTTATGTAAGTAAATATTTAAAAACGATAAGAACATCCACTGTGATACTGAACTCACTTCAACTTTGGCTCTCATCTCATTGCTGCTCAAAATAAACATATGTTTGCATCAATTATCCTTTAGCTTCACCATGAAGAGGGGGCGTGAGTTTTGTGCAAACCCCAGAGAGAAATGGGTCCCAGTTCTGAAGGAGAAGATTGACAGACGCCCAAGGGGTCACAAGAAACCCATGAAGGTATGAGATTAAGGAAGTTTGCAAAACTGTCCATGTCATCATGTCATGCTGGTTTAAAAAGGATGTTCGATTTTTCTATCCTTGTTTTGATAGTCTCCAGACATGACATTTAGGTTGTTTTTTGTAACAAAAAGGCATCTTGCTACTTGCTAAAATACACATACCCTTTTCAAAATAATTGACATTTAATTGTGTTGTTCTCCTCACAGCACAATCAGCCGTACAGAGGCTGAGGGCGTCTGCCAGCTGAAATGGCCCAGAGTCATCCCACCTTCATCTGCCAAATCTTATCATTAAGCAACACACGGTTTTATGGTGTCTTTCTGGAATCTAGTCGATGAGGCTGGCCAAGGAAATCTTCAAGCATTACTTTTGCTTTCACTCTGCACTAAGATAAAGGTCAACGCTTGGGTAGAATCGCAGCAGCACCTTGTTGTTTGAGGATGAACTGCTGCCGACGGGCCGCGACATATAAACGCCTTCAGTAGCATGGCTGCTCCAATGAGAATACTTTTGTGACCGTTTTCTTGCCTTTTAATACATGAGGTGTTCAATAAGCTGCTTAATAAATGGTGATCAGTGTAAATGATAATAATACATGTGCTATTTAGAGTACTTCTTGCCTGAGATGGCCATCAATAATCGTTTATATACAAACACTAATCATTAAATGTAAATGCATTTGGGAAATCTGTCTCATAAGAAACTCTTGTCTTAACTTTTTTCTGAAATGTTAAACTGTCTGTCTTTTCATACATTTTTTGTATATGTATTTGTTCCTATATAAGCATTATTTCAATAAATGTTGCTTATCATCCCCAACCCTCTTGTTGTTCATAGTTTAAGAATATGTTCACATAAATGTTTCTACACAGTTTTTCTATTTAGTCCACTTTTTTGTGATTAACTAATTCAAAAACATTTAAACACTATATTTCATTAAAACAGGGACATTTTGTCTAAAATAAGAAAAGGAGGAGAGGGAACACCCTATTCCTTTTCCTGCTCATATTTATTTATGAGACGTTTGAATTATTTGAGGATAATAATCCTCCTGTAAATTGTATGGTAGCAGCATTGTTTAAGGAAGTGCATATTGTGTGCTGTATTTACACAAGGCATACAGCATTTACAATCTGAATGCTCTTGGAAATGTCTGCACATTGTTTCTTTATGAGCCTGCTATGAAGAACAAATATCCTTCACCACCTGATGTTACCATCATTAAACACTTTTATGCGGGCAGTATTTCACTATTAAAGTGTAAACACAATTGTAATATGACACAGTTCTGTGTAATAAGTAGATGTGTAACTAAAATCATTACAACAGTTTTACTATGGATACCTGCAATGAAAAAAACAACTGTAGGCAGCGATTTACAGTGCAAAAGTAACACATTCACCATTTTACTTAAGCTGTACACAGTGCTGTATAGTAACTAAGTACATTTACTAAGTAATGTGTTTGGGTAAATGTACTTTTGATGCCACTTTATACTTCTACTTCACAACATTTTAGAAGCAAACATTTATTTGACAACTCGTTTAAATAATACTTTCACACACTGTTTGCCTTTAACATGGTGACAGTTATACATTTGTATGCTCCCCATATTCCTATTTGTCTTCTCTTTGAAAATATATCTAAAAAAAAAGACATATATGAAATGTATAAACAGTATTTGCATAGCCTATTAACTGCTTTTTTCCATTGTGGCTCTTTGGGTGACGGTGCTTTTTAGGTATGATACACTGCTGACCGCAAAGTAAGCCGGTAAAATGACAAGATTGAAGTATTCTGATTACAACTGCAGGGCAACATATCTGCAGAAAGAAAGCAGGCATGCACACATCTTCAATGAGCGTCTCTGTGAATGCGATGTGCTGATTTACAACCAGCAGGATCTGATCTGACACGAGGCTGGATTTCAACATTGATCTATGTGTGTTCTTCTTTCATATCCATCGGCAACCGCAAGAACTGCTGGGACATGCATGTGATAAAATCTCACTATGACTAATGCCGTGTATTTGGCCGCGTTGTCTTCGTAATTTATCTATTTCACACATGTTACCTTGCAGACCTGTGCATCGTAGTAACATTATCAGACACTAGGCCTGTGTGTTTGATGTTTTAACGAACACTTCTCTTTTGGTAATGTACATGTTGAGAGGAGGGAGTGAGTGATTGTTTTTGAGTATCAATCAACACTTGGAAGCAGATAAACATTTGTACTGGTGATGTTTTTCTTTGAATTGGCTGAAAACAATGCCTTAAGGCAACAGTGAAATATGAACTGACAGATAACTAATCATGCCTAAGACATTAATAGCACATGACAGATGCACCAACTTCGGAGGTCAAAGTATTTGGTTACACCTGAAAAGGATTTTGGTGCTGAGGCTTTCGTTTCTTTTAGTCGATATTTCAACAGACTGACATTTGTGCTGAGCTTCTTGCTTTTGCTTGCCTGGGCAGAAAGAAACAGCTACTTGGCATCGTGCCCAGAAATATTTAGCCCTGTTTCATCAAACGAAGAAAACCATGATTGGAAAAAATGAAAGGAAACTAAATCTGAACCAAACACTTTACACTGAAACAAATGGGATGAATTACAAGAAATGGGATCTTAAGCACATGAAGACCAAAAAGCACAAACTTCTTAACATCAAAAGTGATATCGCTGCCACCTCCCTAACTTACTGTAAAATCTAGAAATGTATGTTAACAGAAGTCTGTGCAAGTTTGGTGTGAAAGACTGAAACATACTCTTATAATAAATCATTTTTATGGGAACGTAGAAAGAGCAACAGCAAAAAAGAAGAGATAAAATCGGTCGTAAAGTATTGCACACCTCAAAGTTATTTGAAAATGACATTATGTTTATTGCCATAATATTTTGTACAGTTTAACCCTTAGCCCAAACACTGTCATGAAAGCCAGTTTCTCTTTACTACATTTGAAGGATCATAAATAACTGTTGTTCTAACATGTGACCGAAATATGTCATAACTCTAATGAAAGAAGGGAGATCTTTATCATTCTTTAAAGTCAGTACATGTTGACTTCATTTTATCAAAGGTTTCAGGAAACCTTATTTTTACGACTACCTGCTATTTCAATGAAAGAGGTTTTATTTTCACTCTGTCGGTGTGTCACTCTTTAAAAGACAAATTATATTGAAAATAACAAGTTAATATAATAATTTAAAACATTGTTCAAAAATTACCATACTCATGTCGGGAATGCATTTTAAAATATATTAGTATTTTGATAAACAGGGGGTCAACTTTGAGATTCAAGTGATACAAAAAAGGTTAATTCTTGACCTTGGACAAGGCAGTTTGATGAACAATCTCAGCACAATGTCCATTTATAATTTCTTTGGAGCTTTCTGTGGTATTACAATATCTTCTCCAACTGAGAGACTAGTTTGCTCAGTTCTCAAGGAATTGTGCTGGTTTACATTTCAAACTCTCAAGTCCTTATATTGTTGAGACAATCAGCAGATCCAGAAACAACACAGCTTTTCATTCGATTTTTGGTCATGAGTCTCAAACTTTTTAACCTCTGACCCCTGAACAGTCAATTATTTGTTTTGAAGTGAGTCTATTTTTTACAAAACAAAGCACACAGTTATAAATCAATAACAACATTACAGCTGTGTGGACCCGCTCTCCCGCAGGGTCCCTTTAGTTTGGAAAACAATTGTGGTCATCTTTACATATCATATGATCTGCATAATTCAATCAAGTGATTACTACAATTATATCGGGGTTTAACCAGGATTATGATTCATTTCAATAGGATTTGTGAAAGCAATCCACAATTGAAACTGTTGAAGGCGTCACCTTAATCAACAGGTCTGAGTGCTGATGGCTCTCTGAACGATGATCCGTTGATCCCGCTGAAAATGAGGGGATCATATCAACACTTCAAAGAAGGATTAACACCTTGTTAAGATATGAATGAAGAATAAGTCAATGCCAACGTTACACCATATTAAAGTGGTTTTTCTGACATTAAGATAAGATTTATTTGGACCATATGTGTTATGCCTGTAAATAAAGCAGGGTTTTATTTTTTGAGGTTTATTCTAGGCCTTTTTGCCAGTCTACTGTGTTCTTAAGCTTACATTCAACTCTAAAATGTTAAATACACAGAGATTGAAATGTCTGAAATGTATGTTATTCTAATACTTCTTTTAGCCCCTTTCTCTGAAGAGAAAAAGAAGCTGGGATTTGCTCTGGCCATTTGGTGTCATGTTGAATAAACACAAAGGTGCTGGGGCTTCTGAAGGGGAGGCTCAGGCCCCCATGCTGATCCTGTTTATGTGTTTGGGCCGGGTTTTGTTTTAAGTCAGAGGTGCTAAACACCTTCCCCCTGAGATAAAAGATGATTAATGCCTTTGAATGAGCGACGCTTTAATGGCTCGAGGCTACTTAAACACTTCATTAGAGACAGCTCGGGCTGGTCGACACACTCGGTCCTCGCAGCAGAAACAGAGAGGCTGTGGAGATTTCCTTTGAAGTGCAGGCCCCTGCTTGTAAGAACTCAATCCCACAAAGCATTCTGCATGGAAATTTGATTAGCTCTCACTTTTTCTGACCCTACACCAGTCTGAGAGCTTGTTTTCGGGTGACATTTGGGGCTGAAGCTTGATCCCATATAAATATCAGAGGCGTCAGTGAGCAGAGGGACACTCAGTATCTGGCAGCTGAGGAGCAGATTCGGATTAAAGCCATGGATGTACCCCGGCCTTTTCTTCTCCTCCTGTGTGCCCTCCACCTGACCTGTAAGTACTGTTTACTCTATTCTCTGCTGCTGCTGTGACATGTATTAAAGCAGCTATTCACTGACTGGACTGACACCAACCGGATCAAATATACCTGCTAATCCCTTGTAATAACATTGGTAAACATGAGTGTAGTGGATGGGGTGATGCTGCACTGAATAATAGTCATGCATGACACCAAAATTCATTTTTCTTGTAAAGCTATTATTCTAAACATTAATAAACCTGTCTGGGCGTAAGTACCTGCTAATTTCGGTTTTTGATTAACTAAAGACTTGGAAATATGGATTTCTGAACTACTGTGTCCTAAGTTTAACTTGTGTGTAAAACAGTGTGATCCCATTGATCTGAATCTGCCTATTTTGGGAAATATATAAAGTGTGACATTATACAAGTATACATTGAGTAAAAGCATAAAAGTGTTAACTTTCTGATTGTGTTTTCTAGTGACCGGAGTGTTTAGTAAACACATAGATCACAGAAACCTGATCACACAGAGGCTGTGCTGCAAGAGACAGAGCCACTTTGTCTACATTGGAGAAGGTAACACCCAACCACATGTTCTTCCATCAGTAAAAGCACATGTTTTGATTTGCAATTAACTGCAAGTCTTCAATCCTCTAAAATAAGCCACAGTATAATTTGTCGGAGGATTTAAACATGTAAAAGCAACTGACATGATTAGCCTTACGTGTTTAAAAAAAAGTATGTTTTATATGTTATTAATCTTGCTGTCTGACCTCAAATTTATTTTGTGTGACTCTCCTCACAGACATCTCTGGGAGTCCTGTCAGTGTGGATGTGGGGGTGTGCAGGTCGCACTGTGGGGGGGCACCCAGGCCCTCACATGAAGCAGGGCAGCAGGAATACTCCAGACATTCCTCAATGCTGGAATTTCTCAGGAGTAAGAAAGTAAGTTGAGTTTCCCCAGGTGGCCACACGGGGGCGCTGTCCCTTTGTGATTGTAAAAGTTATCTACTGAAACTCAAATAGACATTAGGATGACGTTATAACTGAAGTGTCATCAAATCACGTATATTGTTTTTAAAGGATTTATTGATAGTTCTGTAAGATATATTGATGGTTTTAGTAGGAATATCCGCATAAAGCTCTTAAATTATTATGAATGCACTTTAATTGTAATAGCACTCTGCAAATAATTTCCACCACTCACAATGATGGACACAGAAACATGTTCTGACATGTCTTATTTCTCTTACAAAAGACGAGGGCGCGCGGACCCTCAGCTCCAGAGAGCCCCGGGCCGCAGGGCCAGCTGCCCTCCTGCGGGATGAACCAGGTGTGTGAGCCGACCGGGGTGCGCGTGGACCGGCTGCTGCTGCTGGAGGGACCCCGCGAGGTGGAGATCATCCAGGAGTGCCAGTGCGAGATCAAGCTGACCCAGTGCCTCCGCGTGCCCGCGCTCAGGACCTACTACAGCGAGACACCGTATGAGGCTGTCCTGGACGTGGGAGGCTGCTCCCGGTCCAAGGGTTCACCAGGTGTGTGTGTGTGTGTGTGTGTGTGTGTGTGTGTGTGTGTGTGTGTGTGTGTGTGTGTGTGTGTGTGTGTGTGTGTGTGTGTGTGTGTGTGTGTGTGTGTGTGTGTGTGTGTGTGTGTGTGTGTGTGTGCGTGTGTGTATTGTGCAGCTACCTGCGTTCCAAATAACAATCAAAACAGGAAGAGGAATTCAAATATACAGTGTGATCAGATGAAATATGACTGACTTTCCTAACACACATAGGTTGAACAGAAGTCAGTCAGTTAGTTTATTATTATCTAAAACTATAAGGGAGATAACGATGCAAGATATTTTTCACTAGAACAGAAAAACATTAAGTAAAGCTAGTTCTTTATTTGACATCATCGTCTGACCTCAAAACTAATTTGAAGGTAGATAGGCAACAGTGTCACCATGTTAAACTATTAATAATATGAAACTACACAATGTTTGTGTTAAAAAAAACAGGATATAGGCCTACTTTAGTTATAGTGATAGTGACTGCAGGCTCATAGTCGAAGCAGGCCTGCACTGCTTTCATCAGAATCTACCACAATGCTGATGCAATTAAAGTCCCAATGCTCATTTTTGGACCATTTCACAATTCAAGCTACATGAACATACACAATACAATAGTTTTACTTACTCAGGAGTTTGTCTGTTTAATTAAAATCACGTGATCAAACCCTTTTCTGTAACATAATCAGAATAAAAACTTGTGAAATTGCTTTCTAGTCATTTAAAAGACCTATCAATTAGGGTGGGAGTGATCCCAAAGCCAATCTGGTGTTGTTTTTGTTTTCATTTGGATCAGATATTATTATTGAGCTGATCCCTTCTGCCCATATAACTCAATTTCTTCCTTTCTTAATCCTTCACAGAGGGATTCTCCTGTGTTCCCACTAAGTTTGACTCAGAGTTGGTGGAAACCCCAAACAAAGTGGAGCTGATCCAGACAGTGGTGTCCTGTGAGCTGAAAGAAAGCTGCTACAGGGTCCCATACATGGAGTATCACTATGAAGTAGTCCACAACGATGGAGTCAAAGAGGAGAGACTTAAAGTAGGTGTACATTCTTAACTTTCACTAAAGAAATGTTTCTGTCTTGTTTATCCACAATAGAAAAATGTGCATGACTTCAACTCTATATTTGAATCCAGCCTTCTCATCTCTTCTTTGATTACCATGGCTTACTTAACAGCACACATGTGATTCATTTGTGATGTCGGTTTCACACTATCGCTATTGTAGTGGAGTTCAGAGGAAACGAGGGTCTTGTCGGGTGCCAGACAGTAATGAAGTATCGTTATTCATCAGACTCTCGTGTGGAAGACAGCACTTAATCAAGCTAATCCACTGGCCAAACTGATGCACAGCCAGCAACAATACACAACAGAGACTGGCAGGTTTGAGTTCCAGCTCAACTTAATTCAGGAAAATACAATCAAAACCTGATTTAAACTGCTTTGTGGCCCAATTGTAGCAAATTAGGATTTAGTTTCATTATCCTCTATCAAACCTCACAAAAGCTTTGAAGCACTTAATGCGAAGTTCATCCACAATCAGATCAATACCACAAAGATTGATATAACTATTTCTTATCTTTACCCCAGACTTAACTTGATGAATGACTTATTAGATTAAGGATTTAAAGACTGATTTTATGGACACAGTTGGTGTTTGGCTGTGCCTCAACACCAAGGGTGTGACAGCAGTGCAAACACAAATGGCCCCTGCAGGTGTCGGATCAGAGCCGTAAAGAACAGCTGGGCCCCGGCTCCACTGGGTCAATGTTTGTGACCAGCTGTGCTGATTGCCCTCTCTGTGTGTTGCTAATTTTCCACAGGAAATAGACGTTGGCAGATGTTTGGGAGGCTGCACTACAGGAACCCGATGCCTTCTCAGGTAAGCATGAACACAGCTGCCACACACCCACACCTCCTCGGACCCTCTCATAACAATTGCCTGTGAGCTCTGACACTTTCTACGCTCAGCATGTCGTCAGCGTTACATTCCTGAACCAAATGTCCCTCCTTCAGAAGTCTGCCTCATTCTCAGAACAAAGCAGAAGAAAATACCATATATAATTGTATATGAAGTATATGGCATAATAAGAGATCCCCATTACAAATGTATCTAATAGTTCAGTACTGAATGCTCGCTTTGGATAAAAGCGTCTAACAAAATGACATGTAATGTAATGTAGTTCCTTCATAATATCATTGGACTTTGATTGAATGGCTGGAGAGGGAAAATAGTGCACAGACAAATACAAAAAAGTCGTATTTTTTCATTTAAAAAACCCCGCATCATAGCAACATTATTCAGTATTTTTTTTTTAGCTATATGATGTTGACACTGTGTTAAATGTTAAAAGCCAAGAAGTTTTAGAGCTCCAGCTTTCAATCAAATTAAAGTATTCTAGATGTAATGTGCACTTGTTTTAAACATCTTTTCCCTAAATTCAACCTGAAATATTCAGTATATTTTTAACAAGATTTAGGACAATAGAGACTAATGCACCAGCACTTACAATGCACAATTGCACTTATTGTTGCTTTAAGAGAAAGTGCCAGCTAATTTAAATGTAATGACATTTGGGCTTTCAACTTCAATATAAATTAAAGCTTTAGGGTTTTTTACAACTTTTTTGGTGCACAGTATGAATTTGTTATCACCGCGCCAACAGCAGGTCAGGTTAATGCATGTCTTAATGCATGGTGTTTGTGTATTGCATAGTGGAAGTACTGACACTCATAATGACTTCATTCAAACTTGACAGGCATAAGCTGATATAAGCATACAAGAACCTCACATACTGGAGTTAACTTTCAGTGTAACCAAACAGAGGCATTAATTAAGGCATTTTATTGATTTTTCTATGTATGCTTCTGGCAACTAACAGCTTATCTGATGTGTAGCACAAAGGGAATTCAATGTTATTTCAATTTTATTTTGCAGAAATCAATCTGATCCAGCAGTTTGCCACTTGTGGGCTGAAAAACAGTCCAGCTCATGTGTTCCTGAGGGCTATGAGACCCACAGCTTCCTCGACCAGCATGGACAGATACGCACTATCCTCTCCATCATATCCTGCCTTTGTCAAAACTGACCACAGCGCCCCCTACTGGAAACCTCTTCAAATCCCTTCTCAGGAGTTTTCAACAGTCCATTGTCGACCCCACCAAAAACTCTGACATCCGTTTAAGAATTAGCTCTCCTAAAGTATTTTTGTATTATATGTAATATATGTTTAAATGATAATTTTGTAAATAAATTTAATACAATAATCTGTGAGGTATTTGTCAACTGGAACACCCTATTTGTACCAAAGAAACGAATAAAAAATAAATATTTCTAAGAAATATAACCTTAAATAGCACTTGAGAAACTTCCCCACATAGCAAATACAAGGTGTAGCCTTCTTTAACATTATTATATCAATGTCATTACTTTAAAAAAGTTATTACTGTGGGGTTTGAGTTAAGAAAAACAAGGAAATATAACAGTCACAAGAGGAAGTATTGGCATGCTTGACATGCAGATGTGGGAAGTAACTAAGTACATGTACTCAAGCACTGTAAGTACAATTTTGAGAGACTTAAGTGTTTCCTTTTTATGCTACTTTGTATTTCTACCCCACTAAAATTCAGAGGTAAATGGTGTACTTTTACTCCTCTACATTTATTCAGTACCTGTAGTTACTTTTCAGATTTGGATTAATAATGTGAAATATGATCATCACTTAAATCAGACTTTAGTTACACCTGGAGTAAATGCAGCAGCTACCCTGCAGTATACACACTTATTAAGACTAGCTGCACCTTTACCAGCTGTGATAAACACTTCAATGCATCAATAATTATAATCAAAACATAAAATATATTATTCTGAAATGGACCGATCTGCATAATAAGTACTTTTACTTCTGGTACTTTAAGTTTATTTTGATGCTAATACTTTTCGACTTTCACTTGTAACATAGTATTCTACACTCTGGTACTTTTACTGAAGTACAATATCTGAGTACTTCTCCCACCTCTGTTGACATGATGTAAGACAATCTGATAAAAACATTCTGAAACAAATCAAAACCAGTATGTGTCTTAAGTGAGTGTTTAAAGTATCAAAGAGCTCAAATCAGCCTTTGAAGGAGCACCGGTATGGAGCACATGAAAAGCCCACCAGTTTTGCAAACGTCCCTCTGAAAAAACACACGTGCAGGTAGCTAATAGCTCCTTATTTTCATATCAACGTGCGAACAACTCTTTTGTGGTTTTTGTCTGTCATCTTAAGAGAAGAAGTTGTATGACTTGCTTACAAGGTGTCATGTAGACAACACTTTGATCTCTAATTGTTTATTACAGCTGGGGAAACAAACGTTTTGCTCTTGCGTAATTGTGCATAAAGATCAAAGTTACCAAATGGCACAGTGCGCCATTTGTCAGACAAATAGGAAGGAATTCAGTTGGTTTTAAGAAATACAAATAAACAAAAACAAACTTTTAAGTTAAAAGAATGACTAAGATGGTTGTCTTTAACTAAGGGTTGATTAAAATGCATTATCTTTGTATACATATTTCTGTATCTATGTGTTGAAAGGTAAACTGAATGGAACCATAACATTTTCAGTGTACACACAATTGTCTGCACGGTATTATGTTCTTAAATCTTTAGGAAATGTACACCTAAAGGAACATTTGCTGTCCTGTTTTTCAATCTGACCCTGTTGCTGTTAAACTACTGAATTTCCCCACGGGGATTAATAAAGGTCCATCTTATCTTATCTTATCTTATCTTGAGTATCTTGAGTAACTCGAGTAAAATGAGAATGTAATAAGGGAGGTGTTTTTATGATTGGAAATGATCGAACTGACTAAAGTTGAAATAATCTTTTTAGCACCACATCAGCTTAACCGCATTGCATTTGGAGTTCTTTTTTTGCAAATCAGGTGATTATCCAGCAGTCACGGGATAAGCAGTTATGTTAATCTCTCGAAGTGTAGACAGGGACACCCATCTCTTTATCGAAGTAATTGGTTTCCACCTAAGGCACTGTGCCCCTTATTCTAAATTAATGGATTCATTTAGTGGCCGTCGACCTCCCATGGTGAATGCACTTCCTCAAGAGATCAGCTTCAAGTTTATTCTGTTCAAATTTCTTTCATTTATCTCCTATTGCATGATACATAAAATGTATTCCTGCACAACATAGACACTGGTCCATAAGTACCAAGCTATTTCAAAGGATGAAATTAGTTTATTGAACATTTATTGCCAGACGTCGGGACAATGGGCTTGAATAAAATCTACAATCGGGTTCACACCTTGTTAACGCCGCCATTAGTCTCCCTTTATGTTGGCTGATTGGCGATTTACATTGGCGGCCAAATAGCATCTTTACTGCTGTTTACCAAGGCTGAAGAGTGAACGGGAGCATTTGATATAAAAAGTCAAGCTTCCAGGATCCTGCAGTCACTCCAACTCCAAGTTACTATCTGGCCGGTTGTGTGCTCCGAGGACACCGACGCACAAGGAATCTACTCTACCTTCAGAGATGTTGCTGTTTGTGATCAGCTTTGCCGCTTTAGTTTGCACCATCGCTGCACGGCCTCCACTCGGCTACCTGGAGAATCAGTTCACCGCCGAGTCAGGGGAAGTACGCTCAGCTGCTATCAAGAGACTTCTGGAAGTTTTTGGGATGGATGATCCTCCTGCTATGCATGGACACAAACAGCCACCTCAGTACATGCTCGATCTGTACAACACTGTTGCTGATGTGGACGGTGTGACAAAGGACCCGTATCTGCTGGAGGGGAATACTGTGCGCAGCTTCTTTGACAAATGTAAGATTTTACCCATGCATGCATGCGTTTCTTGCTGGCTTTTTTAGTCAATGAAATAGGGTCACGCTTGTTCTTGTTTCTAATGTTATCATTTCATTTGCAGTGCGCAGTGAACAGGTGGAGTTCAGGTTCAATTTGTCCACGGTTGCAAGAACTGAGAAGATTCTCACTGCAGAGCTGCATCTGTTCAAGCTGAGACCTCAGGCTACACTGACATTCAACAGACACCATTTCTGCCAGGTATGTACCATTCACTAACATTACGGTAACAATTTTATGAAATGCTTTAAACCCATTACAATGCATCTCCTCCAGGGACAGCACTTTAATCATCCATTACCTCTTTTTCATTCAGGTTAGTGTTTATCAGCTGCTTGACACCAGCAAAAACAACACACAGGAGAAGAAGCTGCTGTCCTCTAGACTGATCCCAGTCCACTCTACTGGCTGGGAAGTGTTCACCATTACACAAGCAGTAAGTATTTACTTCCCTTTAAGGCCTTCAATCACATATAGGCTACAGACTTTTCTTTACAGACCTGCCTAAGCTATGAGTTTTACTTGACTAATGTGAACTTCTTTATTAAGGTCCGCTCCTGGATGAGTGATGAACACAGTAACCTGGGGCTCCATGTGGTGGTTCGGACTCTTGGAGGAAGTCAGATGGATCTGAAGCTGATCCGCTTCGCTTCAGGACGCAACCACCACCAGAGCAAACAGCCCATGTTGGTCCTCTTCACGGACGATGGCAGCCGCTCCACTACTCTAGAAAACCTTGGTGAGTTTAGGTCAAGTTAATGTCATTTGATTGATTGGATTATGTCCAGTGATAGTAAAAAAAAAACACAGTCTTGATGAGCAGGGGCGCATATAAGAATTGCGGGGCCTTGGGGAAACCCTTGTCAATTAATTCAGTCAGAAACATAGTAAGTGTAAAATCTGACATCCAATTATTATTGGCTATCAAAAACATTCTTCTGCTGCTGACAACCAAAACCCTTCAGAATAAGAGCAATATAAGAAGAAAGGACATGAAATATGACATGCTATGTTCCAATTCAGAAGAAAATAGTGTATAAACTGACTGTTTTCTAACAAAAATGCTCTCCTTTCTCTAAACAGACCCGAACGATACAGAAGTCAGCTCCGACCTGCCCTCAGCCCCCATGTCAGGCCCTCCCCCCCGCATCGCCCGCTCCCTGGACTACAGCGAGGAGGACGGTGCCTCTTCGCCCTGCCAGCGCCAGCCCCTCTACGTCGACTTTGAGGAGATCGGGTGGTCGGGCTGGATCGTGTCTCCTCGCGGCTACAACGCCTACCACTGCAAAGGCTCCTGCCCCTTCCCCCTGGGTCAGAACATGAGGCCCACCAACCACGCCACCGTCCAGTCCATCATCAACGCTCTGAAGCTGATCAAAGGCATCGATACACCTTGCTGTGTCCCCGACAAGCTCTTCTCCATCAACTTGCTTTACTTTGATGATGCAGAGAATGTGGTGTTGAAACAGTATAATGACATGGTGGCAGGAAGCTGCGGCTGCCACTGACACATCAGGGTCAGGCTGTACATAAAAAATACAATGTAAATCAGGGTTTGATGCATGAATAGCTAGCTGCCCTTTAACACTTAGTTGCATCTAATGAGTAATGTGCATAGTCCCAGATATGGTGTTGTAATATATGTAAATATTCTTAAATTATAATATATGGCAGTGATGGAAGTGATATCCTGTGAAAGATGTGTATATTTTCTGTTTTCTGTTGTGATTTGTTCCACAGTCAGAATAAATGGTGTAAACAAATATTTTAGATTGAATTAATTTACAATATACGTTTCACTCAAAATATTGACATATTTTTAAGAAAGACTAAACTGAGTAGTTATTGACTATGATGAAAAGCCAACAAACTATTAAGCTATCAAAATAGTAATTATTTGGTCAAATTAAAGATTACCCCTCACACTTCTTGCAATAACACATTTGCCAATTCCCTGTAGTGTTTACAGAAAGTAGGAAGGATGCTTGCAGTCTCACCACACTGACCACCTTTTTTGACACACAATCATTCGGTACAGAAGAAATGTCACCGGCACATTTCAAACTAAATGAATCCGTCATAGACTTTGTATTTCAGGAGGGATACCTCATATAGACGTGATGACAGAATGTGTGTTTTCCCCAGAAGCAGTACAAAATTATATTAATTTGTCTTTAGTATTTAAATAATATAGCATGTGAAAAATGCTACACATTGTAGACAGAATAATAAATGTGAGATCCTGTTCAGGCAACACAAGCAGGAGTCGATGATTAGTTAATCAATCAGTACTTAATGAGTTAATCAAGACATTATTACAGCAGTTGCTTTAAATAATATTTATTTAAATTGATTGGAATCATATATTACAAAATATTTGATACGATATTTTGAAGTGTGGTAATTAGTGTATATTAATAAAGAGTTGTTTAATTCAAACATACTTTCCAAACCATAAAACCTCATCAAAAGTGGCAAAAATGTAGCTTTACTCATTTATTTGTCCATGTATATTTTAAGTTCAATATTATACGTCTGCACCAGTGCCATTGTGCATTTTAATAAAGATAATTTCAGCTTGAATTTTACCTCACTACGAATCTCAACTTGTTGCTGCAGGAATAGCAGGAGTGCACTGTGGTGTTACCTCTCAGTTTCTGCAGCTGATGTCTGGAGAGATGCTGCACAACACCCACACGATACAGTCAGCAAGCACGTTGGTGGTCGTCCACAAACGATCTCTATCAACAAATACAGGAAGTTCTAAAGTTAGGAACATGTGACTGTGAGTGTGACTTCACCACAAACACATAGATAAATGTAGGAAGTCCAATGTTGTTTTTAGAATATGTGTAACTTTGTGCTTTCCTCTCAACAACACATATACACTTTTTACCAAGAAACATTGAACACATCTGTTAAGTACAGCACATTATTGGCAGGACATTTCTTACTCTCTAATTAGCTTTTAATTTTATTCTGGCAACAGACTCAGACACACACTTACAGCATCCAGTCAATGCTGATGATAAATGAAATGCCTTCAAGTGGGAGTCCAACTGATGTCAACACTATCACCATGGATACGGTGCTGGCCTGTGGGATGCCTGAGGCCCCAATAGCTGCTGCTGTAGCAGTGATACTGCAATCACATACATTTGAATTATGAACAAGTAAAAATAACTCACTTTAGAGCAGGGGTGTCAAACTCAAGGCCCGGGGGCCAAATCCGGCCCGCGACTTCATTTAATGTGGCCCGCATGCAAAGAATATAATACGTTTATTATACGGTTACATGCCACTTTACAGGAGCACGTTGCCCATAAATTACATGTCCCACAATGCATCTTGTTTTGTGACATGCACACTGAAGAGACTTGGAATTATTTGCCCTAGACTTCTGCTTTCAGACGTAGTTAATTATGAAGTTATTACCCTATCCGATATTAATCCAATGCACAGGAAATTATGTATTATAATACATTATTTTATATATATTATATATTTATATAGTCTTAAAGTCACAACCGGCCCTTTGAGTGCAACCATAATGCTGATGTGGCCCGCAATGAAATTGAGTTTGACACCCCTGCTTTAGAGGCTGCATTAGAATATGCAAGAATGAATTTACATACAATGTAGAAAGATAAGGTTATTTAACCATACCTGATAATGATGATTTCACCCAGATCCAGCTCCATATTATAAATCTGGGCGATGAATATGGAAGCTACTGCCTCATAAAGTGCTGTGCCATCCATGGACATTGTGGCCCCTAAAGGCATCATGAAGCGTGTCACCCGTTTGTCCATGTTGAGATTCTACTGTATGAAAAAAAGTGCAAGATTGTATACTTTCTCACGCCCGATCCATCTTAACTGTAATGTTTATGCTGTAGCCTGTAAACAACAATGAAAACTGGAATTCCAGCTCACCTGGATGAAGTCCCAAAGGCTGTGGTAAGAGCCTCGAGTATACCAGTCATAAACCTGAAGGGATTCTTACGTGTGACCGTGAGATAGATGAGGGGGAGGATGATGAAGCTGTGGATGAAGAGTCCAGTGCACAGTGAGAGCATACATTGCAATCTGGAGACCCATACCCCTACTATCTCTCAGCTTCAAAATCTGTCCTGCGATCAATCAAGAGGGTTCCCACTGGGGAGTACCTGCATGAGAAAAGTGTGGCAAAGCACTGTAAAAGCCAGCAAATATGTTTGAATGATGATTGTACTGTGTTATAGTTTTTTTTTCAAACTTCACTGATAGAGTAATTGGCTTAGTTGCAATTAAGGGGTCAACATTTAAAACTTTAAATGATTATAATTGAATTCACAGTCTTAATGTTGGAAGTTTCTCTTACCAGATGATTGATCAGATGCATGGTGGCTTTATTCAGGCAGTCAAAAACATCCCTCAGAGGTTTTGCCTCATTCTCCATACTACCCAGGATAAGTCCAAAGGCGATGCAGAAGACCAATAAACCCAAAATATTGACTCCTTCTGAGGTGCCTGGCATCGGCGCTGTGTCATCTGCAAGATTACCAGTAAAGCCGTTAAAAGTCATGATAATAACAGTTGTATTTAATAAGATAAATATAAATATTTGATCACAACTACAAAGAACAGAAAGATAATTCTTATTGAACTTACTTGTTTGAGTCAGATTGCTGCCATCAAGACTTTTGATTTTGGAATAAACTGTTTTATACTGAATTAAATAAATATATCATCATTGTAATCAAGCAGGATTATGAGTAGGAAATAAAAAACACTGCAGGTCTCACCTTCCTGAAACAAGCCTCCACAATATTTGAGGGAAACATGTTTCTGTAAATTAAAGAAAGAGAGTAAAGGTTATTTAATGATTGTTTGTATTTGAGATTGATCCTTTATGATGCACACTAACCTGATGAGATCCAGAAAGGCATCCACAGTCTGCCCAGCCTCCACCTCGCCACCAGGGGGCGCTGAGGCGTTCCCATGTGATTTCCCAGGCTTGATAAGCACAACCAGGACGATGCCGATGAACACAGATATGAGGGTTGTAACCGTGTAATAGCAAACAGCCTGGAGCCCCAATTTCCCAAAAGCCTTCTTGTCCATAGATGACATCCCTAAAGAAGATGCAACATATGAACACATGAATATACTTTCTGTTTAGATTGATAGCCGATATAATCTAAAGATAGTATATCTGGGTGTAAAAAACACACAACAAATATACAAAAAACATATACAAAGAGAAACAATACTAATTCAAGGAATACCTTTTAACATGGTAAACACATTCTTACATATAGTAGTTGAACACACACAAACATATTTTAGAGTGGTGTCATCATTTAGAAATAATAAAATAAAACTAGGATCTGCGCATTGTCAATTTAATGTCAACCAATATCCCAACAATAAATCACATCTCCTGGGAATGTATTTAAGTAAGAGGTTGCAGTCAGGTTATATTGCTGTTTTGGATAGGATTATATTGAGGATATTACTAATAGTATGGTGTGGAAAATGCATAACATACTGGTAAACTGAACACCAGCGTGCGACAAACATCACTATATAAAACATTTGTTTGGTTTAAATGAGAATTTCGGGGATGTGGGGGGTGATATGCCCACTATGCTTGTGCAGGACACACTCAAAATACTTAATCCCAAATTGCTCCCGATGGCATGGCCAACAGTGGGGGGGGGGGGTTTACTGAGCATGGCAGTCTCGGCCTCTGTATGAATGGAGTTAATGCTGATTTGTATGTACTTTGACCGGTACAAAACACTGAAAAAGGGCTATATGAAATGCAGTCCATTTACTACTATACATAGAAAATAGCCACTTCTCTGAGTATGTCGGGCCATTTGACTCTAATATCCGGGGATCTAGCCTGAAATCAGACTGGATGTGATGAGAGGAAGCACAAGCATCTGTAGCATCCGCATCAACAGCTCTCCAGGAAAGGTGAAGTATTGTATATCTCTGGATGTCATGTTGCTGTATTGCAGAGCCAACCCCTCAGAGAAATATAAACAAAGGTCAACATGTCAGTGTGTTTCTCAAATGACTATTCATTCCCAAAAATACAAAATGCATTGCAGTCAATACTCAAAGTACTGCTGGAAAATAGCATTATGCAAAAAACAGGGGCAATCTCCATTAACACGCCTGTGATGTAAAACAGGACTCAGGTGAACGGAAAATAGTTTTATCACAGATCAAATGCAACAATATCCAACATTGAGAACAGAATTTTAAATATATTGTAAATGCAGACACAAAATGTATACACTTTTCAAACACAACATGGTTTAAAATGTAAAACATAGAAGCTAGTCTACAGAAAACAAGAAGAGGACAACATTCCTCATCAGCCTTCGATAAAGGAGTCCTTGCATCAAACCTTTTAGGAGCTGGATAGTTCCCTCTTGACACTTACTTACGTACTGGTTTGCTAGTTCTACACTTTGCAAAGCAGCAACAGTTCAGGGCGTGCAGCATCCTTGAAAGATAATTAATTCGGGGAAATAAACCCCCCAGGAGGCGAGCAAACCAGGTGGAGGCAGCCGGAGGAGCTTCTCGCACAATAACTGAAACAACACATTTAGGAGACAATATATTGTAAACGTGAAACCTTTTAAAAAACACTGTTTCAGCGAGATGTGAAGGGTGTAGTAAAGTAGCAAAGAGCAATGGTGGTTGTGGGGGAAACTTCTGTGTAGCAATGCAGGAGGAGTCACCGACTCAAAAGGAGACACGGGGAGAGCTGGAGCTTTGATGTCAAACACTGATGGGTTTATTTGGAGCTTCGGCCGGAGAATTCACAAAACAAATCCAAGAGCCAGAGGTTCTGACTTCACGGTAGAGTTGCCACGTCAATTCTGAAGAACTCTACCCCAGACCCGTGTATTTAGCTAGTTCAGAGAGAATAATCAACATTGTGCATAACAAGATATAATCATAACACCTCTATCAGCTGACGCCAACAGGCAGGAACAGGGAGACAAAACACTGAGAGCACAGCAGCCAAGGTTACAGGTGCGTGTGCTCAGTCAGGACTGTATGAACTGATAAACTTGGTCAAAGTTATGGGCCTTGGAAAATATTTCCCCAACAGTGGTCAAAAGATTTGTAATACCTCACAGAAATAAATGTTATACCTGTTTCATTATCACAGAGGCCAAAGTATAATGGCAAACAAGGAGGGTTAATATCCTACCATCAAATCATATTTTTATCATAAAACAGTACATACTACATTTCATATCACAATAATAAACTGTCCAAAAACTGCTTTTGAACAAATGACCTTGTCCTAAACAAGCACAAGAAAAATGGTTTTGACAGTGAATACGTAAAGGGGAAACAAAGCGTAGCATCATTTGCATCACAGATGGATTTGGCGACCAATTACATTTTATGGGGCTTCTTTAAGAGGTCCAGACCCCCATGCCTATGCCCACTGAGATACAGTCGATCTCCCAAATGCAACTGCACCATGTTGGACTTTTTAAAGGATAACACATAAGCATTTCACATAAAACCTTTTTTTTGTTGTTACTAAAAACCTTTTCTTCCTATTTAATGTCTTCCTTATTTCGTTTGCAGAGCACAATACAGTGAGGTGAAGGTGGGATGTATTGATCGTATAGTGCTGCTGTTCAATTCAATTCATTATCATTGAGCATAATGTAATGCCTGTGCTAAAGCTGAAGGGGAAATAGCATTCAATAGTTGGATATATACCCAATAATGGAGGTCTCAACTAAAACAAAACTTGTCTCCCATCAAAAAGTCTATTTGCCCACTACAATACCCCGTCTCTAAAGAGTGTAACCCGAGCTGTGAGCGAGGCGTCGGCCATACAGTGGCACTAAAGGGGTTGACACCACTTGGCATGATGCTGGACGACAGCCCTTATTCATTGTCAGAGGGGCTGCTATTCACAATGGAGAAAACGATGAAATGCTGCCATTATAATGGGGACCAAAGGCCCGGTGGCAGCCCGACACCTGATCTCCTCTTTGGCTCCGGCTTCCTTTTGTCCCAGCATTTCATATCTGACATATCCACACACCCTAAAAAAAGCAGTAGATGCTGGAGCAGCGATGGACCTGAGGCTTGGCGTTTGTGCACTCGGACATGGGGAATAAACAGACCATCTTCACAGCACAGCAGCTCGATTCCTATCAGGTTGGTGTCAATCCCGTTTCTTTCTGACTGAGACGGTTAGCCTAATTCTCTTTGGTGCATCGCTTATCAATACCAGCTCCCAGCATCTGTAAACAAGGGCAATAGGCCTGTCAGACGTCATGTCTCAACCTCCAAATATGCAATTCAAAAAGGAAAATATTTGGACTTTTTAACAGTCAATGCATCATAGGCCATTTGTGGTGTTGAGTTAGTAACAGGATGCATATAGTGGCATGTTTTAATCAAGTGATAAAGTCTTATTTAGATACCTGTTTTGATGTAAAATCTGTGGTGGAAGTTCACTAAGGACATTTGGTCTAATGAGATACCTTACTCTAGTACTGTACTTAGGTGTTATTCTTTGGCAATAGTACTTTATATGAGTATTTTCATTTGTTGCCACTTTATACCTCTACAAGGAATTCATTTGACCTTACTTCTGTAGTAAGGTAAACATGCATATAGTAATATTACATGTATTTCTAACCTATATTAATATCCCTAGAAATAATATTACACGTTTTTTAAGATTATACAGATATTAAGATTACGTTTAAGTACTTTTTGTGGCAAATACATTTTGGTTAAAAATACAAAAATGGTTTAAAATGCATGACCTTTACGAGTTTTTATATTGTGCTGAATCATTTTTCTAGAAGTAGTGTAAATCACGTGATTAAGAACAGCTGTATCATACCTTTTTTTTTCAATTTCTCAACATTCCTGCCATAATCTGATTGTTTTTGCAGGACTGTACATATTTTACAAGGAAAGAAATTCTCAGGTGAGAAATTAAATTATAGCATTTCTCCTGAATCGAATTATCTGACTGGTATCAAAATCTTATTGTATCAAAGTTATTGCTGGTTAGACATTATACAGCACATTTTCTGTTCTGTTCAATACTCTAAACTACAATATCATGAGGCCTCTCCTACTGTGGGGCAGGCTACCATTGAAATCACATTGTTTTACAATTCTTGCTTGACTGTGCTAAGAAGACATTGTTTTCCGTGTGGATAATAAAAAGAGAGAAATAGAGTTTTTTTTATGTTTCTTAGATACCCCATGTAATATCAAATACATAATATTAAACGATATCTTGTAATTTAATATTGAAAGACATTTTTTTCAACCTTTGCTAGACTGTTTGACCGCTATCGGGATTTGGCGCCGCAGCTCGTTCCCCTCGACTACACTTGCCAGCCAGATGTGAAGCTACCATATGAGCTGATTGGCAGCATGCCAGAGCTGAAGGTAGACCCACTCCCTGTGTTCCCAATACATAATTAATGGCCAACTAATCGACAGAATTCTTTGAAACGTTATATGTTACCCGACTCCTTTAAACTTTAAGAAAGCTGGTGAGTCCCTCAGGGCACACTTGTTTGAAATGGGTCAATTATATGCCTCTTTACACAATGACAGGGAGGTAAACATGTGTGTTAACATGCTTGTCGCTGACATGTCCTGAGATAGGGAGAGTTAGATTGTAATTTGCTTTCAAAGTCCTACATTCAAGAGCTTTTTTGAGTTCTTAAAATAACAGAAAAACAGACAAGAAAATTATACATAAATTGAACATAAACACAATCTTGTGGCACAGCGAAGCCATCAGACCAACAGGAAACGGTTCTTATTGCTTTGTGAATTCATCAGTTTTAACTTAAAGAGGTGCTGGTGTCCCCTCTGTGCAGGACAACCCGTTTCGTCAGAGGATCGCTGAGGTTTTCTCTGACGACGGAGAGGGAAACATGACCCTGGACGACTTCTTGGACATGTTTTCAGTCCTGAGCGAGATGGCCCCGCGTGACCTCAAGGCCTACTACGCTTTCAAAATATATGGTAAAATATAAAAGAAAGTAATAGACATTTTACAAAATCAAAAGGACGGAGGTTATCAAATTTTTTAAAATATATTTAGTTGAGAATGGCTTTATCTTCCACAGATCCTACTGGTCTATGTGTAAGAGCAATAATTCAAATGAACGTCATTCTCACTTTGAATCCCCTCTTTCTTTTCTTCTGATCTTTTAATTCCTAATTCAGAGAATGGTATTGAAGTGGTCTCAAACTGAGCTTGAACATATGTTGAAGGTGACCGTATGCAGAAATGAGCATAACATATTAATAATACACCAAAAACTTTACATGTTTTATATGCTATAATATATTTTCAGATTAGCTGTCAAAAAGTTGTTCAAATACCAAGAATTGTGCAGTATTGTACAGAGATAGTGTGTTTGCATCCAACCAGATGGGGTGAACCTGAAAAACTGCATCACTTTGTGTAAAGGAATAATAAATAAATCATATTTATAAGTAAAACCCAATAAAATTATGAAATGTCATCAGGAATAATGGTTACAGATCATAATGTAATAGTAATATAATAATAAGTATGATTTTTGAGCTGTTAACGACAGTCCGGGATCTTCAGGACTACAAACTGAAGATTAGGAAACATGTAGGCCTAACTGAAGAGTGGGATAAACCACCCTGATGCCTAGCCTGTGTGCAACACATTCATCTAATCCCTTGTAAACATTTGAACTATGAAGTCAGTTTCATAACAGTTGTTAAACATAAGTATATTTTCACATTTCATCAATGTGCAGGCTTATGAAAATGAACCATGGTGCAGGGTCTGGGAGCTGTAAGCATGACGGATGGTGCATGGAATGTTATAAATGATTAAGGGGCCCATTATAGAGGCAAAGAGCTCTTCAAAGCCCAGTTTGCGCTCCGCAATAGTGCCCCCCCTCTAATTAACAAATGCTGACAGATGAAGAAGTTACATACACATGGCCATGGTCATGGGTCAAGGAAGATTTTCATTCATTATTCAGACCAATAGAGGAGGACATACTGTAACAGAAGGGTTGTGTTATGATGAGCTAGATACCTCAAATGAACTCTCTAATGGCGGACTGGGAGAGTATGTAAGGCTCAAAGAATGTGTTTAAACAATGACTTAATATGGATAAGGAAAAAGCAGTGACATTACGGGGTAAGACAAATAATTAATGCTATTCTATTTAGACATATAGTTCAAACCCTGAATATTGTCACCAAATATATGTAACCCTGGATAGGAAGAGTTCAGAATATATGAATGACAACAATGTTTATTAGAGATTAATCTGTTCATTCAACAGTTTGGTCCATAACATGTCAAAACAGTGGAAAACATCCACCATTAGCTAAACCATAGTCAACATATTCAAACATACTTTTATGTCCAAAATTCATTGACAGATAATTTCCTATCTCCTTGATTTCTATATTCTGCAAGATTTCAACAATGATGACTTTCTCTGCAAGTCCGACCTGGAGAAGACTCTGAACAAACTGACCCGTAACGAGCTGACGGAGGACGAGGTGAGGATGGTGTGTGAGAAGGTGATCGATGAGTCGGACCTGGACAACGACGGACGGCTGTCCCTGGAGGACTTCCAGACCATGATCGTCCGAGCTCCAGACTTTCTGAGGTAGGCCAGAGATAACCACATGATGAACCCCTACAAAGGATACATAAGAACAATTAATTACATATTTTGTATCAATGACCGTCATCCAATATGTTTTTTTAATATAATAATATCTGTTCTTAACTTTAACTTCTAATGAATAAATCTAACTTCTCTTATTTCTGTTCACAGCACCTTCCACATACGGATATAAAGAAATTAAGCTTTCATTTATTTCTTAATCTTAATACCACCTAATGATGGACTGAGTGTCTGGAAAGTGGGGGAATCCTGATTTCTCAAGCAACACAATCTAATCTTGTGAATACTTAAAATGTGCTTTTTGTGTTTTCTTTTGTTTAAAAAAACCCAATAAAAACCTACTGATCTATATCAAAGAAAATCATCCCTTTTAGACATTTTGCATGAAGACAAATTAGATTTGTATGCACATACCGAGTTGATTTTTCTTTCTTTATAGTATCTGCAGAAATAACACCAGTCATGGTGTGACTGCAGGCTTATCACATGCAGGCATGGACGAAGCCTTAAAGACAAGCCTCATTAGTTATGACCATCAACAGCAGATCTGTTTTGTATCTAAAAAGGGATCAGTTACACAAGACTATAAAAGAAAACACATGCCAGAATAATCCACAGGGTTATAGCGGTCCAATAGAGAGAAGCGTTTGTTGTGCAAGCAGTCAAGCTGCATGGGGTCATCTGGCAGCCAATAAAGACAGTGACTAGAAATAAAGTTAGTTTTATAATCTTATTTTATTAAATCAAAAGCACAGATATCTACAAACTGTAGATACATTTTCATATGGGTTTAGAAAGTACAGTACAATTTAAGTAGATCTCTTTTTTTTCTCCAATGTGATATTTACAATTTTTTTTTCACTTTTTTCTTCAAAATGTATTTTTATTATTCTCCCCGTGTACTTCACAAATCGATGGAATGAAAATATGGCTGTAAAAAGGGATGTACATTATGTTAGTAAAGGATATGATAAAAAAAAAATCAGAGGGAGGTTCATTTCAGATGAAAATGACGCAGTTCAGAGTCTCTCTAAAGTCCCTACGTTTCTGTTTATGAATGAAAGCTACAGTATCACTCGAGTGAGAAAACAGCTCCACACTTACAGGCTCTTTCTATTCAATCTTCCATCATGATAAACTCAACTTGCGGTGTTGTTGCAATGCCGTTTCTACAGTCCTGTTTTTGGCTCAACGAGTGACACAAAAGAAAAAAGCCCATACATTCAACTGTACAGGTCTACGTCTGAAATTACATCACACAAATATGCACAGGTCCAAGATTCACAATGCATAGCTCACCTATGACAGAACTGAGTATTAGCAGTTAAGACAAATGGCCATGAGGTCCCAAATGAATTGATAATAATAATACAAAAAAAGTGCAGGCAAGCAGAAGCAGATCCTCCCTCGATATTGTGCATATAGGAGTTCGATTTTCAGACTGGTGAGAAATGAAGGAAGGAAACATGAGGAACAGTGGAACTAGATGTAAAATAGTGGGTACATGTTTGGATCGCACAGGTATAGCTCACTGTGCCTCGCGCTCTTAATAAAATACTGATTAAAATTTGAGTTCAGGTGTTCATCTATAGTGCATACTGTGCCTCTGGTGCCACCTAGCTGTCAAACTAAAGCGCCACTATCAAACACAAACGCACAAGAGAGAGCACAATAATACTAGTCGGAGCTCCTTTCAGCTTTCACCAAGCCAGCATTCATGTAATAAGCCAAGAAAACTTTACTTTTTAAACTATAATTTGGCAGGGCAGTAGCATAGAAACAGGCTTTTTTTTTTCTTCTTCTTTATATAAATATATATAAGTACATTGGGGCAATGTTTTTCAGTGAACTAATACCAGGACAGTGACCACTAGAAGTGAAATGGCAAAGGATATCAAGTCATTTGTAAGTAGGTGTGGTAAAAAAAAAAAGTTTAGGAATTATGCCCAATATATTACCAAGACTCAAAATGTTTTTAACTAAGTACTTGTATTGCAAAACTATCACTTGGCACAGACTACACACAAAACACGAGTTACTGGTAAAGTGCAAGGAGAGCTGCATGGATAGCAGAAGAGGGGGGGGGGGGGGGGGGGGGGGGGGGGGGCTTACAGTGTGAAAAATTCAAAAGTGATTTTAATTTCTGATCAAATAACCAGAGACGTCATTTAGCTTGACTGTGAATCAGAGCTGCTACAACACCTTAAAGTCAAACGGCCAACGCTTTAAAGCAATCCCATGAACCAATCAACTGAGAGAGAAAAAAATGCAACTATATTTAAATGTTGATATTAAATGTTAGAGCAAATATAGAACACGTTTAGTTGCAGCTTCTCAAATGCGAGGATTTTCTTTGTGTTAGGTGATTTTAAATTGAATGCTTTTGGGTTTTGGACTGTTGATCTGACAACATTTTAAATTTAAAGATGTCACCTTGACTTTAATAGCCATTTTTCCCACTTTGTGGATGTTTTAGAGACCAAAATATAAATCGAATAATCAAGAAATGCAGTGGTAGAATAATCAATACAAATAATGGCTAAACGCAGCCCCCTCTCATTACACGCTGGACTTAATTTTGAAGGATTATTTGAATTATAATGGGAGCACATCTTGATATCTTTCTGTAAAAAGGGTAACCTTCAGCACGTTTTCCCTTCCACACCTGTGTACAATACTTTCCTTCAGGTCACTACACCAGAGAAAGCCAAAGCGGGAACGCGTCACCTCACCAAAGTTCTACTAAAAATGTGCCAGCAGAAGTTTATCTTAAGAGAAATCTGGATTGCCAAACTGCCTTTCAACATGACAGCTGCTGCAAAAGATAAAAGGGTGGAAGGCAGGGTGCGATGAATAGGACCGGATGTTAAAACGTATTTTAAGCTACTCAAATGATTGTCGCTGACTACAGGCAGAGAACTGAACTCAAATGTAAGATATTTTAATCCAATTCCTCTCTGACCCTTGACTGCTTTATGCATGGTACGAGTGTTAACTCAATGACAATGAAATCTTGAGCAAATCTGTTTCACTTCAGTTCAAGCCTTTCAGTCTCGGTTGATGTTTATCACTTAACAGGAAATAGCACTATTCAAAATAGATCTAAACGTCACATTTGTATTTGCAATCCCAGAACATTAATTTAACGTTTTCTCATCTTCAGTTGTGCTACTGGCTGTGTGAAATATGAGGGCATAGTACAAAGAGACTTACATCAGAAGAAAAAGCCTGTGTTTTGTGTGATAAGGAACATCTGGTCAATGCTCCTGGTTTTTATCTCAACCAGTCAAGCATTCTGACCCATGAAGACAACAGATCTCCTTAAAATGAAAGAGATGCACCACTGGAAGCTTTCAGAAGAGGAAGAGAGGAGGGGAAGTCCTCCTCTTACTAGGAATATAATGGATTGTGTGGACTGGGTAGAAAGAAGGAAGGGGAAGGAAGTGCTAAGAGCAAGCACAGTCCATTTTTGTCCAGCCAGCTGGAAGCCAGTATCGAAGGCCTCGGTCCTCAGAGTAAGCTACAGCGGAAGAAGCTGCTCTTTTTCGGAGGCTCGGAGATCTTGACTCCGTGACTGCCCCCCTGCTGCGTGTTGCCCTCCTGTGAAAATGACAAATAAAAAGGTCACTGCTGTCATGTAGAACTGCTTGGTCTTATATAGTTCAACCACTTTCTTTACAGTCCTCAAATACTTTCTAAAACCAGAGGCCTATGGATAGTTTTTTCAGCTGCTCAAAAGCAATTGTAACATTAATCAATTTGCCCCTTTCCAAAAACTAAGTTGAATTATCAAAGAGTTCTTACCAGCTTTGTGTCCATTTTTGATTTGATGTCCCTGGCGAGTGTCAAAAATGACTGTGAACCGAAAAAAAATGTTATTACATGGCTGATCTATAATCTGTTAGGCACACTATAACTCAAGGATGAATGTATATTTACATTTTCCACGTTGATGTTGGCCTTTGCACTCGTCTCCATGAACTTGATTCCATACTCTAATGCGAGCTAAAAAAAAAAAAAAAGGTAACCATCAGTCTTTTTTATTTGTTTATCATACCAATATTCTTAATGGGCAAATATAATGTGAAGACAATGTATTTATTTGAAGTAAACCAAGCTTCTCACCTTCTCCCCCCTGTCTTTGGACACCTGTCGCTTGTCATTGATGTCACACTTGTTGCCGAGGACCATCTTCTCAACATCAGATGATGCATGCTGGATCCAGAGCAGAGAAATGTAATGAAAACAACCTTCTACACATGCTGTCATTTGGATATTTAAAGAAGTAGGCAGATGAGCCAGTTATTACCTCCTCTATGTTCCTTATCCAGTTCTTGATATTTTCAAAAGACTTCTCGTTGGTGATGTCGTAGACAAGCATGATGCCCTGAAGAAAAGAAAAAAACAGTAACTCAAATGTGTTGAGAGTATTAAAGCAACTTATATGTTCCTTCAAGGAGGAAAAGGGTTATGTTGCATTTGTCTGAAAAAAGAAGACGACACCCACCATTGCTCCTCTGTAGTAGGCTGTTGTGATTGTTCGGAAGCGTTCCTGGCCGGCCGTATCCCTGAAAAACAACAAAAAGTATCTCAATGTATCAGAAAGTTAAAGACTATATACCAAATGCATGAAACAAGTTTTAAAAATAATTGTATAAAACTTGTGGAAATTGTAATCATTGTTTAACTGTAGTAAAATATGCCAGCTATGTAAAGTTATTTATTTTTAAATGGACTTTTTGCAGGTGAATGTAGAGGTTGGCTTTGGATGAATTCATTTTGTAGGCTGTAATTAACACATCGATAAAAGTGACATAAAATATGCTAAAATTACCTTTTGGAACACGTACATACATCTTAAAATAATTGAACGACTATAGAATCAAGAATACTCTAAGGTTAAGAGTGTTAATGACCTTTAGGCATCCTACTGTACATCTATGAGAACCATTAACGTTGCCTTGAAAAAAGTGGGTGCCACCGC